TGTTTTATATATCGGCCTGGCCTTGAACTTGAGATTCCCCTGCCCCAGTCTTACATTCTTAATTCCATTATTTTTATTATTACTTTTTTTTTTTTAGTCTTTTTGAGACAGGGTCTCCCTGTAGCCCCAGTTGGACTGGAACTCACTATGTAGACCAGGCTGGCCTTTATTTCATAGAGATCAGTCTGCCTCTGCCTCCTGAGTGCTCGGATTGAAGGTGTGTACCATCACACCCAGCTCTTAATTCTATTTCTATAAAAGGAAATAAAACATAATATCCCATCTGTGAACATATATTTGTGTTGACAAGTGTGGCTTATACCGGGGATCCCAATATACAGGAAGTTGAGGCATATTACTGCAAGTACAAGACTAGCCTGGGCTACCTAGTGAGTTCAAAGCTCAATAAGAAATCCTTTCTAAATAGCCAGGTGTGATGGCACATGCCTTTAATCCCAGCACTGATGAAGGCCAGGCTGGTCTACATAGTGAGTTCCAGGGAGAACCCATTTCAAAAAGACCTGAATGAATGAATGAGTGAATGAATGAATGAATACATACATACATACATACATACATACATACATACATAAATAAATCCTATCTTTAAAAAATGTAGTTTTTGCTCTGCTTCCCTGGGCGCGCATGACCTGCAGGCCTTTCTCCAACCCGCAGGCCTTTCTCCAACCTGCAGGCCTCTCTCCAGGAAGCACTCTGGGCCTGGCCTTGCCCCTATCTTCCTTTGCATCTCTGGGTGGCATGGCCACTTGCTGCCATAGACCAGCATCTTTCCTGGGCCTGGCTCCCAGGCCAGTCCAACACCCAAATTCCTGAGGCCAAAATCTGTCCTGGAGGGATCCAGACCTTAGGAGAAAGCCAGAGAGCATCTGATCCTCATCTGACTTGTGCCTCTGTGGGAACTCCTAAAGACAAAAGCAATCCGGCCACGCCAGCATAAAATCAAAAGAGAGAACCGGAAGCTTAGACGAACCAGCTTTTCATGCCCCAAAAGTAAACCACAAAGACACATAAAGTTTACAAAAAGAAGCAGACCTAAACATGAAGGCTTGAGTCTCACACAAGAATCAAAAACTACAAAAGAAATTCACATGTCAAAATCACAGAGAAAAAATAATAAAATGAAAAACCAAAATAACATATCCCCACCAAATACCAGTAGTACTCTAGAGGAGTAAAATGAGAACGCCCTAGAGATAATGCAGGCCGTGGAACTCAAAAGAAAAATTATAAACATGATAAAAGAATTCAGTGAATTTAAAGAACACACAAAGAAATCAAAGAACTGAAGGAAGATAGGGACAAACTTCTGAATGAATTCAGAGAGAGTTAGAAATATTGAAGACTACTCAGGCTGAAATGAAGAAGGAAGTGAAACACTCAGTAAGCCAATTAGAAACAGCAGGAGAAAGCCTCACCAATAGGATGAATGAAATGGAAAATAGAGTATCAAGACTACATGATAAAGTGGACGAACTAGACC